CTTGAGGATATAATTTTAAGTAGCTAAGGATAAAAAAAGATCACAGAAGTTTGTGTATCGATCTATCAATTTTACGAAAATTTTCAGTAAATATAAAAATTATGTAATATCTATATACTATTTAAAAAATAAATATATATTATAATTATTATTTACTTTTTTGTAAAATTGATAGGGATGCAAACTTCTTCAAAAAAAAAAAATTAAACATGTAATATACATGTATATGATCATATGCCAATATTCATCTGTAATATTCTACGGAAAATTGATCAATTAAAAAAAAACAGTTTTGATATTCATAAATTGCTTGTTTTTTTTATGTTTTTATTATGTCTGATAGTGTCAAAGAGAACATAGAGGCCATACATATCCACTTTACTACCTGGGGGTATATCCCATTTATGGCTTCTGTAATTATCACCTGTGTATTCCCAGTCAACCATGTTCTGCTGACCTCATAATTCATTAACACACCTCATAGACTCATAATTCTCTTATTTGACCTTTAAATATTATATTAAAGACAAATTTATTCAATAATTAACAAAACATTTGAATTTATATACTTTTGATGAAATTTTGAATATGTCTAATGTCTAATAACTACATGTACAACTAGAAACTCTTGTTGCTACAGCAACAAAGAAGGTCTTCCGTTCTCCTCTATTTATCTACATAAATGAGCTTTAATCTATGTTAAAAAGGCATATATTTTTAATGATTGTGGGAAAACAATCAGCCGGAGGTGTAACTTACCAAGATTCTTCACTTTACTTTAGACAAGTATAGTCATTTTCAATTTTTTATCTCTTCCTGTGACGACCAGAAGGAACGGCGTACGCATTTTACCCTATATTTTTTGCCCTATCTTCATGTTGTTTTATTCATATAAGTTAAGTGTCTTGATCTGTTACAGTTTAAGAGATCTCGTAATATTATCTTCTCATTTTGAGGACAAATAATCACGTGACCGGAAGTAAATTTTTGGAAAGATATTTGAAGTTACTCTAGATATTTCAGTCTAAATAACATGTCCTAAATATTTATGGTATATTATAATACTAAATTTATGCAGTTTTTCTTTCATAAGCGGAAGTTGTCCATTTTGTTTCCAGTGGGACTGACATATTTCAAAACTACAAAAAAGATGCTACATGTATAATGTATTACTAAGAAAGATTCCATAAGAAAAGTTTTTATTCATTTGTTCACTTCCAGTGACAATTGGAAGTGACGGTGGACAATCTTTTCCTAACTAGTTTTGCCTACACATCAAGATCTACCACTTGTAAAAGTTTGGTGTCTTAATCTCTTACCGTTTACGAGATCTAGTTATGATAACTTCTCATTCTGAGGACAGGAAATCACGCAACCGGAAGTGAATTTTTTAAAGATAGTTGGCGTTTAACTTAAGACAGGTACAGTCTTAATAACATATCCAAAAATCATTACAAATACTGCATCTATAAAAAATATTTACTGGAAAGAAAAATACTCAAATTATGAAGCTTTTCTCTTACAACCGGAAGTTGTGTTCTTTGTTTTCTGTGTTACTGACTTTTTTCTACAAATAAGATGCTATTGTGTTATAAAAAAAAGTTTCCATAAGGAAAAATTGAATTTTTGGACTTCTTTGATCACTTCCTGTGACGACCGGAAGTGACGACAGACGATCTTATCCACCATGGAATTGCTAACTCATCAGGATATACCACTTGTCAAAGTTTGGTGTCTTAATCTCTTACTGTTTAAGAGATCTAGCTATAATAATTTCTCATTTTGAGGACAGGAAATCACACGCAACCGGAAGTGAATTTTTTTAAAAAATAGTTGATGTTACTGTAGACATTTGCAGTCTGAATAACATATCCAAAACAGTTGCAAACACTTTATCTATAAAAAATATGTATTTGAAAAAAAATATTCAAATTATTTAGTTTTTCTCTTATAACCGGAAGTCGTAGTTTTTGTTTCCGGTGGAGCTGATATATTTTGAAACTACAAATAAAGCGCTATAATGTGATGCAATAAACGTTCCATAAAAGAAAAGATGAAATTTCCGATTTTTTGACCACTTCCTGTGACGACCGGAAGTGACGGCGGACAATCTTAACCCAAATGTTTTTCCCTTTTCGTCAAGATATAATACTCCTAAAAGTTTCGTGTCTACATCTCTTAACGTTTCAGAGATATAGCTATAAGAACTATTCATTTTGAGGACAGGAAATCACGCGACCGGAAGTGAATTTTCCAAAGATATTTGACGTTACTGTAGTCATTTGCAGTCTGTCTAACACTTCTAAAAATCATTTCGAAAACTTCATCCATAAAAAATATTTATGGGAAAGAAAAATACTGAAAATATGCAGTTTTTCTCTAATAACCGGAAGTTGTCGTTTTTGTTTCCGGTGGGACTGACATATTTCGAAACTACGAGTAAGATGCTATAATCCGATGCTAAAAAAACTTTCAAAAAAGAAAAGTTGAAATTTTCGATATTTAAGAACACTTCCTGTGACGACCGGAAGTGACGGCGGACGATCTTAACCCAATTGGATTTGCCTACTTATCAAGATCTATCATCCCTGTAAGTTTGGTGCCTTAATCTCTTACCGTTTCTGAGATCTCACTCGGATTAAATATTTTTGAAAAAAGCGGAAATCGGACATATCTGACGACCGGAAGTGAATTTTGAAAAAATGAAAAAAACGTCTCGGGGTATTTTCATTCTCTATCATCCCTGAAAATTTCAGGAAAATCTGTCCAGCCATCTCTGAGAAATCCTGCCGACAAGATTTGGGGAAAAAAATAATAATAAGAATAATAATAAGAAAAAACAGTAGAATCACTATAAGGTCTTCCGTCTGAAACGGAAGACCTTAAAAATACAGGAATTGAACATTGGGGCATAGGTTAAACAACCCACCCCACCCCCACCCCTTCCCGAATTTTTGATTTAGGCCAATTTACTAAAAAAAAGAAAAAAATTTAATTGTGTTTTAAAAGATATTCAACAATCAAGTCATTCCAAAATATTAGGTCATCAGATTATGTATCGGGTCATTTAAAAATATCAACAACTAGGTCATCAACTTCTTTTTTTACTATTATAATAAAATTCTTAAAATCATTTTCCTTTAAAAGTACATAGACTGTAAGTTCCAGTACAGAATCATCAAATATTATGAACAATTCCACCAATAATTTATTATCACATGCATGCATGTTTTACATGTTTCTATCAATATGCTTCATTTGTATATGCCTTTATTTTCTCAAAAATTCACTATATATTTTTTTTTCAATATTTTTTTTCTAATATCTAGATTAAGATTATATAACTTAGATTATCAAGCAGTTAATTAAATCACACATTTACATGTAAATCAGGTCAATCGGCATTATCAGGGCATTCAGAAATCAGGACATTATACCCCTTGGAAACTTCAAAAGTGATTTCCAACAATATACAATAGATAATTTAGCCTACACTGAATTAAACTACTTTTATATATGATCCTTAAAAATTATTTAATCAAATTGTAAATTTTAAGTTTTGCTAAGTTGGGTTTATTAGAAGTTTTTATACTATCAGGTCATCAGGTCATTATACCCTAAAATCAGGACATTATACCCCTGTCAATTTTCTCTGTCAAATAAAACTTAATAAAAATATTTTATTTAGCATTTTCTTCATGATTCTCATAGAAAATGATGATATTCACAATTTCCACTAAAAATAACATTGTTTATGCACATAAAAACTCTTTATTTCAGTATATATATGTAATCAGGTCAATCAGGGCATTATACTATCAGGGCATTATACCTTTCCCTTGGGGACGGAACCACCCATCCCCTTCGCGTTTCGTAGCCCAAGGATTCTCTGACTTTTTTTAAAAATAAAATATTTTTGTATGACATTCTGGTATTCAAAAATTATTACAACCGAAAAACCCAATACTTTTATACGATACTAACACAGACCTATATACGCATCGCGGCAACGTTTTGACTCAGGACCCCAGGTATTGCGAGGATGCAGATGATGAAATGGTCCTACTACTGGGAGCCTCTTTTGGAACATTTTATTTAGTTGCACACAGTTGTTTAAAAAGTGTTTAAGATTCTCATTTTCACTGAATAATATTATGTAACATCCTTTATTTCCTAAATGAATCCAATATTATTATACAGGTGCTTTGAAACGGGACCCCCCCACCCCACCCCTTTTCCCACGTGTCTTGTACGATAAGGTTTCTTCGATTATTTCTTTTTTATATAAAATATATTTGTTTGACATATCCACAAAGTATTGCAACTGAAAATTCCAAAATTTAAACTATAACTAGCCTTTCATACTCTCTGATACTTAAACAGAACCCGTTCTGTTGTAGAATCGGAGAGTATGAATTTTTGAATATGGTATACAAAAACATTTAATTTATTCCTTTAAAAAATTCAAAGAACTTTTGGGGAACGGAACATGGGGACGGGGTCCCGATCCTAAGCACCTGTGTATTAATTATAGACTTTCTCTTATGTATGCATAATTTACAGCCACGTAGCATCGTTTTTGAAAAGGGGGGGGGGGCAGCCAGAGAATTTTTTTTATACTTACCTGAAAAAGTTGATAAGCAAAAAAACAACAACAACAACAAAAAAGGAAACTTGCCCAAAGTCGAAAATCCTATTAGGGGATGGGGGGGGGGGGGTAAATGCCAACTTTTTTCAGTACCATTTATTATACTACATTTTCTGTAGTTGGAGGGACCAGCCTTTCAATGTACATTTCCTATAGTATAAGTAAGGTTGGGGAAAAAAGAAGGGGGGTCAGGCCCCCTGCCCTCCTCCCCCTGTTGCTACGTGCCTGATTTAATTAATCAAGGTGCCGTCAGTACTCGCTGTGCAGTGGAACCTTTAAAGTAATTATGACGTCATAGTGAATTTTGAAAACACCCAAATGACTGAATTCCCCGCGACCTTAGTGACGTAACAGCTTTTTAACGTGATAAACAAACATGCTTTGGAAACGGCAAAATGTTGAGAGAAAAAATCAAGGAGTTAGTATAGAGGCAAAGAACGCATTCGGGGCATAGAAAATTAATTTACCTCCTGGCTGGGAACTGTGGTCACATAGTTAGATTTTGGAAGTTTTTCAACCCAGGGAGTTCCCGTCTACAATGTTTGAATCTGCGAATGAAAAGTAAGTTTTAGTTTATAAAATTTAAAAATCGGCTAAATTCAGGTTAAAAGTTGTTTTATTTGCTATTTTTTTACATTTCAGATCCAATATATATATTTTCTGTATGTCAAAATCAGATCTAACATTTAGATCTAGATATGTTCTATCGTTAAAATGATAAATGTTCTTCGTGCCCGGTGGTGAGATTCTGTCCCGAGACACAGATTTTTCCATCTAGGAAAATTAGGGAGGGGGGGTCTAACGTAAAAAAAAAATCAACTACCATGACATTCAATAATCAAGGACCCGTTTTACAAAAGAACGCACGACTCACACTTAGATTAATTGTAAAATCTTGCAAAATAAAAGGCTCTGTTAAAAATTGCTCGCATAAAAATATTTTTACCAAACTCTTTTTGAGAAGATTAAAACCATTTTCAATAATAATTAATGGGTCCCTGATGAATATACGGACCTAAGAAATATAACAATTTTTATTCATTTATTTTTGGGGGGGGGGATGTAAAAGACAGAAAATCATTTTTTTTTCAGGAATAGGTCCAGGTTTTTTTTTCCCAGGAACTTCCCGGGAGGGGGTGTTGAAGGTCATTTTTTAAGTTACTTTAACATAAGAACAATTATAACTCGGCAAATTCTAGAAGGATTCTCAAAAAACTGTCACAAACTGACGGTATGCTCATAAGATTGTACCTTTGTTAATCATATTCAAAGAATTTTCAAAATGATGTCATTGTGCTGTATTTCGAATTCAATATTTTCAAAGTTATAAAATGGATTCGCAATAGAAGAAAGTCAAATCCTTACATAAGTTTCACTTTATTTACTTTTCCGTTCAAAATTCAGTTAAGGTCAGATGACACGTTCCTCAAATATATGTTTTGTATCTCTTGGTATTATATAAAAAAAATTATTCACATTTGTCATTTTCTTTTGATTTTTACACTGTTCTTAAAATGTTTTTAAATATAAGGGAAACCAAAAATTGTGTTATAGGCCATTTAGAGGATTATCCATAAGGGTTATATAAGAAATATGACCCTATGGTATCTTGGCCAAATGCCTGGTAAGGTACCCTAATTTTTTGTGAGGAAACTTGTTTAAGTACCTATACTTCAATGAAAAATTGTTACGAAAAATTATATATTTTTGAGGAACGTGTCGTCTGACCTTAAGCTACATACCATCATATACATTTTCTTTAACAGTTTTTTAAGTGCTTGATTCATCATTGTATTTTTATTTTTCAGATTCAAAATTGGACCCTTGAACAATTCACCATACCCCATGCTTGGTGATGATCAAAACAAGGTAGATATATATTTTGTTAAATTGTTGAACATTGCTGTAAATATTTTTTTTATAAATCTATACATGTAATTATGAATAATTATTTACAAACGTTTGAGATTGGTCAACAGGTATCGCAGATTTTTTGGGGTGTTTGTCCTTCTCCATTTCAGATACAATGTATATATTTTTTAAATACACGTATAAAATTTTCACATTTCAAAAAGCAAGGATGATTTTAGTCGATATGATAGTTTTCTGTAAAGTACATTTTTGTTAAATCTTTATTAAGTTAATAAAGCCAAGGAGGCAAAGCTAAATTTTAATTTTTAGTACTAGATGATTTTTTTTTCAGATCACCAATGCTTACATTGAGGATTTTAAAACAGTAGGTTTTGGCCGCAAAGATTCGCAAAAATATCCCTGGTACAACAACCCTTTTGACCCTAGAATGTAAGTTTTAGTCTTCTTTGTTTGTTGTTAAACATCCCTCTCAAGAATATTTCACTCAAATTGAGATGCTGAAAGCAAGTTTCGAAAAAAAAATATTGAACATTGGTTTTGGTTAATTTTGACAGGTCTTTCCATGGTTTTCAACATTGTCTCTTCAAGCAGCAAGATGAAAAAGACAATGAACAAACCAAAGCCAGACTTACAGAAAATGTTTTCTTGGCTCTTGACAACCCATCTGCTGTAATGAATGACTATTTATACGGATACAGAGAGTACCTCAAGAACCTCTCGGGGCTGCCCACCATCCACATCGGGTCCGGAGATGACCCAGGCGACATAGTACACGACGACGGATCCCAGGAATGCAAGCGTCTGTTTCAGCGAATCCGCTCACAGTCCGTAAGATCCGTGTTTCCAATGGAAAATGAAGCTCTGGAAAATGCTGCTCTTGGGAAGGCGCTCACGGAGACAAACTGTCAATTAACAGAAAATCATAGTCAGCCTGACAGAATGGATCAGCTCTGCTTAAATCCGTCTCCAGATCTTTCAAAGTATCAAACAGGCAACGCAAATGAAAGTTTATTGCAAAAGTCACTTGAAAAGTTATGCGACGGGATTGCTGAGGAGGCAAAAGAGACTGACCAAATATTGATCCCTACCTCACGTGCAGCAGTAAACAAACCTCAGACTCCTCCGGGGTTTTCCTCCAAGAATTTGGCAAACAATGGAGGGTGTTTTGAAACTGCACATGTAATCAACGAAACTGTTACGAAAGACTCGACACTCGAAGAGAAAACTTTTAATCAATATTTCTTGACGAAAGATAAACATGTAACAGACGATAGCTCACATTTACAAAAGGAACGAAAGGCAGCAGAGAAAATACATCAGTCTTCATCGTCAATGTCCAGAAATTTACAAGAGGCGGTAGCAAAACTTATCCCTGAAGAAGTTCATGACACGAAGTTAACAAGCGGACAACCAGACAAGCATATACCGAGTGGACAACCTAACAAGAATTTACCGAGTGAACAACCTGATACGGAGATACCAAAAAGCGGACAACCAGACAAGAATTTACCGAGCGCACAACCGCACGAAAAGTTACCAACCGAACAACCTGATAAGAATTTACCAAGCGGACAACCGGACAAGAATTTACAGAGCGGACAACCAGACAAAAGTTCACCGAGCGGACATCCAGGCAAGAATTTACCGAGTGGTCAAACACAAGTCCAGCAACCCACAGAAGAAGAGCAATCAAAAGACAAAAAAATTACGCATTTATCAGACATTAGTGGAGGAACGACTCCAGTTTCCAAAGAATCGAGCAACTCAAGGTACATCTTTTTATTCTCTCTTTGCAGACTACTTTATTTAAGAAATAAGGTATCATTTTTTGAGTTTTATTGAGATGTAAAACGGGTTGGTCACGTGATCAAATCCCATAAAGCCCGAAGGGCTTTATGGAAGATTTGATCATGTGTCAACCCGTTTTACATCTCCATAAAACTCAAAAATGATACCTTATTACTGTATATTTACATTTGTGACTTATTTATACTTTCTATTTGCCTTTTAACGTGTGAAATGCGTTAATTTTTCAAACCCAACGGCATGTATGTAATCCACTAGACGCGCGTCGACCCTTTATGACGTCACAGAGAAATTACGTGGAACGTTTATCCAAACGCACATCTATGACCTCTTGACCCCAAACCTGTATTTACACAGTTATAAAAACGCTTGCCTTCAGTAGTATTATGTAAAGGAAAACATTTGCAAATGTAAATATTGATCGATAAATGTAAAGTTTTACTAAAAGAATTCCACTCATATATGCACACCCAAATATACTAGTACTATAATTCAGATGTACTTGTTTTTCAGTTGGGCTGAGAAGCTGTTTTACAAAGATGTAAATGGAAAAGAAAAGTGTTCCAAAGAAGGGTAAGAATGTCATCAAACGAAATAAAGACTGTTAGAAGCAACCCATTAATATCATTAAAATCCATGTAATGTTTCAGGTAATAAGTTTCTATGTTGTAGGAAATCTAGTCTTGAAAATAATAAAGTAAATGTGGCAGAGAAAGCATCGAAGACAATCAAGTCCAATTTAAGGCCAAATTCAGAACCCTTCATTCCACCATCGCTCGCCTCAAAGTCTAACAATGCACTGCAAGTTCAAAACAAAACTTTATTTACACACGAGGTAAGATATGTCAACTTACAGTTTTACTATACATGATAATGATTTAAGAAAAATACCAAATCACGTATATTTACATTCAATCCTAATGATGCCATTTACTTTGCAGGATTTCCAACCGAGACATTATGCCCAAAACCTTGTACCACACGCACAAAACAACTACCTTCCTAACATTCAGCCCGCACCGTACCCACAACAACTGCCATCACAGAGTCTGTACTTTCCAACAAACGTACCACCCCCACCAGTTCACGGTTTGGCCCCTGTTATTGCTCAACAGAATTATCGCAATCCGCATGAAGCATTCCAAAACGCGAACTGGTTTAACGACAATGGTGTCGTGGCTCCTCCGGATTACAAGAGATATCAGTTCCAGCCGCCTCTTCAGAGCCCATTGATTCCTTCTGTTGTGCAGAACAACCAACTGTTCAACCAGAATTACCCATACAACCAAGGGTTGTTAAATTACAACACACCAGATAATTTGTTGCCACATGACATGACAACAAACGTTATGTCAGTATACATTCGGTCGACAGCATTTATGTCCTCCACCTTCCAGCAGAAAAATCAGCCCCAGCATTTGTATGCCTTTAGGGAATCCCGTAACAGTTTCCCTTACAATTTCAACAACAACAACACGACTAATGACAACAACAACAATAACAACAACAATTCGTTGTCAGACAGAAGCGCTAGTTGTCTTGAAACAGAAGAGCGCGTTATTCCGCGTATTGAGTTCCGTCGGAGTCGGAGCTGTGAGGATTTGGTGTTAGACGGCTTCAAAGGACGAGCCCGGCCCAGGGCTATAAGGTCTAACTTGATAAGGATTTATCCCACCAATAGTTGACTTTTTCATGACTAGTTTCTCGTTGTTTTTCGACCAAAATATACTCAATGATTGTTAATTATTTGATTTTCTAACTTGGTTTTTTAAATATAAAACTGTTTCATGGCTTGTTGTTGTATTTACTATTTGTAAATAAGATATACAACAAAGTTCCACATATTGCTCAGTATACTCTTTACTACACATC